CGATCGGGATCCGTCAATTTTAATGTTGGAAATGTCACTTCACGTTCACGCAGTAAGATTGTACGTATTTGTTGTTCAATATCAAATTCTATGAACCGTTGAGACACTGGTTTACGATAACGAGTATGATGACGACATTCATTATTACTACAACATTTTGTGTCTCTGGATATGGATTTACAATCCGGACATAATGTACATGTGATATGAATAAGTGACGTAGATGTTGACGTTTTTCTTAACAGGTTAACCAAAGTTAAATAATTGTTTGGAACGTTTTGGACTTTCAATAGTAATAAAAGTTTTAATAATGAATTCATCCCATCTCGACTTACATTGTAATGTAGTTTTTTTGTTTTACTTTACTTTTTTTTGTACATTACTAATACAATAGCCAAGTGTAGTTTCGTGAATTTAGCAGTTGATAATCGTTTTTCAAATCTACATAGAAAGAAATAGAGTAAACAGTCATACCTTAAGCTCATTTATTCCAGAAAAGATTGATCAAGTAGTACTTACCCATAATTAATGCTGTTTGAATTATCGTAATCAGTTTTCATTTCCAAGTCACATTGGTGTGATACACATTTCCTGCCTGCTTCTGGCGTGTTTTGTACGAGGTTTTTGAATAATGGGTGTAATTCTTCATCTTCTTCAATGTTATCATCTATTTTAATATAACACAATTGGAAATTGGAAATCCGATAGAATAATCAGCACATTCTCAATAGTGTAAAAAACATGGGGCTTACCTTCATGTGAACGTTCTGTTTCATACGACTGCGTTGTCGCACAACTCTTTCTGAAAATTTTCATATCATGATTTACCAATCCTCTGTTCTTTTTTATAATACGATCTCGATAGTCTGACGACGCTGAAGGGAACAACTTGTTTCTGGGACGAGGCATTTTGTGAAACAAACGGATGATAAAGAATGACAGTTCCGGTTCTCAAGGTATTTGAAAACCTTTAGATCTCTTCAAAAACCACACGTTCAGGATGTACCTCTAACAATATTCAGATCAGTTTGGCTTCCTTCTATTTATTCAAATCAGTTAAACAACAAAACAAGTAAATTACTAACACACAGACATGAAGATATATACACATACATACACTCACGTAAAAGTAGAAAAACAATATACATCTGTTCGACAGAAAGTACTGTGGTAGCTTTTTGAAAACACATGATAATCACAACATCACTGTTAATTTTCTTCGTCATTTCCGCTATGTTCCAATTGCTCTTCGGATTCATATGTAGCATTATCTTCATTTTCATGACTAATTATTTGTTCTTCAGTAATATCAGGTTTTTCCTTATCAGCTAATAGTTGTTTAGTAGCAGCGGTCAGCTTTGTATTACGACTTGATCTTGCAACGCGAAATACATTATAAATAGCAGAACGAATTGAATTTGTTTCAGTATTTATTTCACTAGGATGACACATTTTGGCAAATGCTAAAAAAGAAGAAAAAGCAAATAGCATGATCTTTCCAGTGATTGTTGAATAACCTCATATATTCAGGCACACATACTGAAAAAGGCTCATACGTACAAACAATGAGGTTTATTGTTTCTACATCTGCTTCCTTGGCTGTTAATTTTGATAGGTCATCAAAACGAAAACAAATACGTGCAAAACTACGTGCTGTTGATGTACGACTATCATTTATTGCTGCACGAATTTCTGCTAACGATGAGTGCGTTACATCACAATACGGTTGAAGATTTTCAACTTTGATTAGCCCAACAGCACTATGTGATAAACGTTGTGCGACTTGGTGAAACCAATACTGTACGGGTAAGGGTGGAATAGCTAAGCAAATTAATAATAAACAAGAACGCTTTGAAATCTGTCCGCCCCATAGAACAGAAGTACACCTACGAAGAGAATTCATTTTATGTACAGTTAACTGCTTTTTCGTTTTGTCATATTGTTCACGTAAACATGTAAACATATATATTTAATAAGTAATTTATTAAATTTGCTTGCTAATGGTGAATAACTTGTATCATAATCTATTTTCTCATCATAATCGTATTTGCCACCACTCAGGTAATCTTTTTCATCATCGCTGTCTTTCGCTAAACCACCAATGCAACACAAGAGAAGCGTTATTTATTAAATACATCAGGCTACAAACGTACATGGTTGAGCAACACTTGTTGTGATTCGGAGATCAGTTTCTGTTTTTTTTCGTGCCGCTGACTGAGATGATTGATTTTCATGTCTTTGTTTCCCTTGATCGTTCGGATAACCTGCATGACCAATCACTGAAACTGCAGTGTTTGAAGTTGATGGACGTGGAGCATCAGCTGCTCGGTGAGCAGTTGAAGCGGATGTTTGAACAACTTGCAGCAGTTCAGCTAGAAGCAGGAGAAGATGGCAAATCTTGTCAAAGCAGTTCTAAACTTAACGCTTAGAAGCGTGACTTACCGAGTGTCGGAGTACGTACTTTTGGTGTTGGTGTAATAGCAACATTGCTATTTGCACTTGCGGTGGGTGACGATAATACGTTTTGTTTCATGTTAGCTGAAGAAACATTTTCTAAAACAAAACCGAAACGCAAGTCATAGCGAATCAACTAGATAAAATAGACTACTAACCTTTGTTGTTCTGACTTTTTTTCCCTGCCTGTTTTGCTTGTTCAACTTTTTCAATTTGTTGTTGTTTTTTATCCGCTGCTCTACGAGGCGTGCCAGGCCCTCAAATGAAACATAAAGAAGTAAGCAAGTGTAAAATATTGAATATAATTTCTGACTCTTTCCAAGTGATATTTTCATTGTTTGAGATGGCTTCACATTGTCTTGATGTTGTTCAGGATCAAGTATATCGGCAGCAGCTATAAATACATCCATCTGTGAGTCGCACTCATCTTCATCACCTAAACGTGAATTCGAATAATTTCTACACAGGGAGAGCAAAAAGAAATTAATACGTATCGATAAACTCGATAAATCCACGATCATTTCGCCCATTTTCGATAAGTCTGAACGTTGCTTCTCTTCCTTGTCTAAACCCGTTCGCTTGGAACACCATACCAGCGAAAAACTGTTTTGGAATGACGTAATAATCATTCTTAAACCGCACAAGCGCATGCGACGCCTTCGAATTGCCTTTTGTTGTACCAGTACTTCCACCACTGAATACAGATACCGTCTTTTTCTTGGTCAGTTGAATATTACTCATCATTGAAAGATCAAATGTGCAAATCACAAGACGATACAATTAATATATTAATCTGAAAAGATCAATAAACAAAATGATGTTAGATGAGTTGTGGCAAGTGTATAAATTTATAGTAACGAGGTCTAACGCTTCTGAAGGACAAAAATTCTGATATATACACGGATAAACACGTTCGTCCCAAAAATTTCACACCAACGCGTTTGAACACGTTAAAAACTATGAGTCACCGTCTAAATTGTGTCTTTTTCTCCCGGACTGTCTTGAAGCCGTCTCGAACCTTTTAGAGGACTTATGACAGACTTCGAATCTCTCATACCATACTAAAACTCAACGAGCATTTTCATGTTCGGTCATGAAATTGCTCGTAGAATGCTTGATTATTGCAAACAGATGATCAAAACTTTGCTGAAAATGAAGTACAGTTTCGAAAAACACGGAATATGTGCACATCTTTAGCATGTCCTGCTCCACGTGTACTATGTTAGATAAAATACTTCAACTGTGAAATTTTGTAAGTCTTCTCCTCCTGTAGGAAGTTGTTGGTCTAGTACTGAGGCACAGTACCAAGTAGACTTCACTTGATTGGTCTCGGGTTCTCTCGAAAGATAACGAATCGAAAATGAAATAAAGTTGGACAAATAGAAGAAATATCTGGCAGGTTTCAACACGTTCGATATAAAATAATGAACCTAACGCGTTACAGCTCATCCGAAAACGGATGCATTCGAACGCCTTATTAGTATATAAAAACTAACATTCAAAGAAAAAACAACCCGTTTGAACGGGTTGAAGTCTAAACAGGGGTTGAACGCATTTACGGTTTCAGAATGCATTTCAACGCGGTGCAATCGGTCAAATCAACTTGTTCCAACCAGTTCCTTACTGTAGCGTGTTAGAACGTGCACGATACAGAGCAGATTCCAATGCGTTTCGAAAGATCGACCAAGTTTCATAGAATTTTGACTGGAACGCGTTGGAACAAGTTGATTTGACCGATTTCACCGCGTTGAAACACGTCAGAATGCCATTTTCTGCCACATTTTTTCCCGTTTCAATGCGTTCGACTATTCGTACACGTTCTAACGTACTTTTCTAGTTTTCAAAATTGGCGAATGTGCAACTGAACGCGTTCACAGAAGTTGGGCAGATGTCTAACTCGCTCTAACACGTTGGTTAAAATTTTTTCAGCGCGCTCTAACTGGTTTATTATCTTGTATCAGACTCGTTGCAACTTTCGTTCGAGTAATTAAATTATCTCATGGGAAGTACGAATATTTTTTCACATTTACAATAACTGTTTTTCCTTCTCGAACATAGTTACTTAAGGTCCCCCCCCCTCCGGTAAAAACCTATCTCCGAAACCGTAAGTCCGATCCTGACCAAACTTGTAGCAGATGCTGATGTTGTGAAGTATGACGATGAATTTTTTTGTTTGGCTCCATCTAGCATGGTTTGAATGATGTTGCCACAACAGTGATCAAAATGGGGCTGTTCGTAGCTGCAAGATTTCTCAGTAACGAAACACTGTGCAGAACTCGGGCCGGTCTTGAGTTGATGAAAATACATGTGGATAGAGCCGGATTTTTTGATATTTTTCTTTTCAAATTAATGGTCAGCGTCAAAAGTCCGAAATTCGAAAAAGTCTCATTAACTTTGGTAAAGATGTTTTTTTAATCACAAATCTAGACTGAATATCAGAAAACGGGCTCTATCAGCCTCTAGCCACATGTGTCAGCTTTAATTTAAGATCTTCTCGAGCTCTCTGCGATGTTTCGTTACCGAGAAATCTGGGAGCTACAAAATGGTGTTAAACCCAGTCAGTCACCTATATGTTTTGAAAATTCGTTTTAACGCGGTTTTAGCTTCAAAATAGCGCGCCAAACTCTGTTTACGAAAAATTTAGCGCGTTTAATGCAACCTATGATTCCCATGAAATAATTTTGATACCCTAACGCAGGTTAGCATGCGTTAAAAAAGAAGTTTTCGAGAAAATTGTGTTTGAACGGGTTAAATTTTCAAATATGACGCGTGCTAACGTTTCTTCGGAGCGGTA